AGCGTTCCGTTTTTGCCGCGAAGGCGCTGTAAAGCCCGACTCTTCCCAGACTCCGGTGCTTGCAAAAAGCCACCGTACCTCGACCGCGGGAATCTTAGCAAAAACATAACGCATTCACAATAACTAACGTCGATGAAATACTAAGTTTTTTTAGTGCTACACAATTTGCATTTACTGTTTTTCCTATGAAATCGAGTTCCGAAAACTGTTCAGTAAAAAATTATAAAATCCATCGATCGTCCATCAAATTGGAAGCTTATTGATAATGGAATACTCGTACATACATATTATGTTAACAACTTTGTTGACGCGTCTGCGAATCGCGAGCTTGTTCCCGCGAAAATGCTAATAAGATTCCATTTAAATATAATATTATTGGCGGATCTTACATAATAAGTAAGTTGCTTTACCAATTAAACCTAAAAAAAATAAAAATGGTTTGTGGTAAAAACAGATCATCATCAAAAACAAATCAATATCCGAAAGTACCTACGTCTTATATGGTCTATATAGGAACATATTTCACGACAATCGTGACTACGAGACGTACCAGGCGCGATTTTGGGATGGATGGTGGATACTCTTCAGTGATTAACACCCAGATCGATTTGCTAGACCTAAAGAACTGTTTTACACCCTGTCAAAGTTTATATCAAACTAGCATTACCCGCGGCTCCGCCCGCGTTCAGATGATCAAAAACCAAATTCTTAGTTTTTACATATTAGTATACTCTTACAATGCAGTTTTTGTATTTTTTCTCAAAAATGAGATATTTTCCCGCGGTAAAAAGTATCCTATATGTTGACCCGGATAACCAGCTAACATCATACCAAATTTCATCAAAATCTGTCCAGTGGTTTTCTCGTGATGCGGTAACAGACAGACACAAAAATTCTAAAAACTATAGATTCGGACTCTGTATCGATAATAATGTCTATTTTAATTAGATTTCTCAAAAAATATTTAATGTACAGATTTGACTTAGTTAGAATTTTATTATATGTATAGAAGTAGTTTAAAAATCCCTAGAGTCGGTCGGAGTGCGGAGTGAAACGTAAGTGAGACTCTCCCGACGGTCACTTACTTTTATAAAATGGTCTAGTGACGACTTTAGGATTGACGGTGATAACTCTAACTTGCCAAGAGATGGCTCTACAGCATCTTTAACCGCATGCATCTTTAAACATGCGAAACCGTTATGAAATTTGTTTTTTTTTTATGTGGTTAGATATATTATATAATCTTTGTATGTAATTGAATATAATTGTATGTTATAGTATAATAGCAGGTAGCAACTAAAAAAAGTTTATTTAATAGAAAGGGATGAAAAGTTTAAATAAAATTTAAAAAAAAGTAGCCGGAGCATTCTGCTACCGTAATATATGACGTATAATGCAGATTATGTCTTTTTTTATTTATTGCACATAACAGTTTATTGTAATAATTTAACTCACAAGAAATCTGATTGATGTAAATAAAAATCAGTAATAAAATGACCTACTCTCGCTTTACGGAACAACAAGGAAAACCACGAGAACAACTTAATGCAATAAAAAGGCTCTCTCAAAAAGGGTCACATACTCTATGGCTCTCTCTATGCAAAAAATCACGTCGATCGTTTTCCAGAAGATCCTAACTGCGTGAAAGCAAGCATTTCTAATATTCAATACACAATATACTCGTGTATCATTTATTATCTCTTTTTTTCCACATTATTTTATTCGTATTTTTTAGTGCGACAGTGAATATATTTTTATTTTAATGCCTACTCTATTTAGATTTAATTAGAACTAGACATTTACCCTGGCTTGGCTCGGGTGTGTCCCTAGTACGATTTTGTATTCCAATTTGATTCCATTTTGACATTACAAACAGACATTTTGTGATGGTAGACAAGATGTATTAATAAATGGGATCAAACGGGAAATATAGGTATCCTGCCAAACAAAAAAAAAATTTCCAAATCGCTTTATAAATGACGGAGTTCTGAAATAACAAACAAAAAAAATACAACCGAATTGAGAACGTCCTCCTTTTTTTGGAAATCGGTTAAAAAAATCAAAATAAGCTTACTTTATTCAAATAAACGTTTATAAACGATAAGCTTATCCGTTGCTCTGTTGAAAACTACGTTGATATTTTCAGCTAAAATTGGTCCAACACTTTCATATCTGCAGAGTATTTTGTGACCATACCCATCCGGGACGGTTTTCTAATAAAATAATAAATTTATAATTATCATTGATTTAAATTGTTTAAGTAGCAAGCTCATTATTGACCGTAGATTTCTTATCATCTGTCTGTTTATTATACACGGTACACCTTGCCTCTTAAATTATATACACCTTTCAAAGATTAAAATGTAGCGCTATCAGTTTTTCTCTATTTCTAGTATTTATTTCACGTTTGCCACTGTTTTTCATGTAGCAATAGATAAAATATATTTTGTCTGACAGACATATTGAAATATCTATACTAATATTATAATATTATAATAAGGGTAATCTCGGAATCTACTAAATCGATTTAGATGAAATTTGGTAAGAAGATAGTTTGAGACCCCGGGAAGGATATAGGATACTTTTTATCCCGGAATTCATGCCTAAAGGGAGTGAAAATGTGGATGAAAGTTTGTATGGGGAATCAACCTAGGGTCGGACCCAATCGAAGCGAGGGCGAGTCGCTAGTGAGTAATAAAATGTAACTGATCGTTGTCTGTTCATGGAAGATATTTGAGAAAAACTATTATATGATTTTTAGAATTGTTGTCTGTTTGTCTATACGTTCGTGTGCGCTAATCTCAAAAACAGCTTAACCGATTTGGGTGCGGTTTTCACTGATGTACCACAGTAAGCTTCACTTAACATTTAGTATTTTGTTTTATTTCAATCGGTTCATATATAAAAAAGTTAGGTCAATTAAATGAATCACTTAGGGACGAACCTAAGCGAAGCGAGGGTGAGTCGCTAGTATTGAAATATAACCGTAAGTATACCTTTTTTTTAAGTTATCGTAGTGTCACGGTAATATTACATATATTTTACCGTGGTAGTGTATACCCAGTATATAAATGTATAATCTATGGTGTATACCAAGGACCGATTCATAAATGGCGCGAATATCTGTTTTTGGAGATTGAATATAAAATTAATTACTACTACGCTATCATATAGAAAAACCTTAACAATAAATTAATTGAGTATTATCGACTTACCTATGTTAGCTTATCTTTCCTATTCAGGGAAAACAGCAGAGTTCAATTAACTCTTGCGAGTTGAGATCTACTGTTTTGATAGAAGTTCCACTAATATGAATCCACGTGTATTCCTAAAAATACTATGGAATTAATATACTCGTAGATACTAAACTTATATTCTGCCTTCTTACATTAGAAAAACATATACCTACCTTCCTATTTGTTTTCTTGATATATTGTGGAATATATGCGACAGTGTATATATATATATATATATTATAATTCGTCATAATTAGTTATTTCTTTCAATTACAAAAAAATATACGGAAGCATTACCAGCAAAGTATTCAATATGGCATGAAAATATATTAACATAAAAAGAGAGATTATTTATATAAGGTAGAAATAAAAATGGACCCAAATTATGATTCTTTTTAATAAAATAGTATTATTAATAAAATATATTTATCGTAGGTAATAACAAATATTTATATTTTCATTGTTTACGTATAAATTATTTACAATAATTGTTCTTAATTAAAAATATATGATTCACTACTTAATGGGTAAGAATTTTACCTTTACTCCCGCCAGATGTCGCGATCACTAATATACCTTCAGATATTGTAAAGCTCTATCGCGTGGATAGATATTTTTTCATTTTATTTAAAATTTGATTAAAATGACAAATTGTACAGTGCCAGGATGCAAAGAAAATGGATATCATTTATTCCCAAAAGACAAAAACTGAAGAAAATGTGGGATAAGACGACCAAAATTGGCAAAATCACATCTTTATATTTAAAGCTATGTGGATATCATTTTATAGAAAGTGATTTTGAAATTGTTAAATCGTCTACAGGTGAATATTATTTTTTATTTTTTGTACTTTTTACCTATTAATTACAGAGTTTCATACAAACTTTCATCCCTATTTTACCCCCTTATGGGATTCAATTCAAAAAATGCTAAAACACGTATTTAACTGCATTGAAGAGTGCTAATACGAAGTTTCAAGTAATTCTGATCATAAATAATTAATTACCCATATAAACTTTATTACCCTCTTTTACCGTTTTAAAGGATTACTTTCGAAAAAAATAACAAATAAATATATTTCTTATTTTTTATCATAAAGCTAAACACCACTTTCTGTATATTGTCACATGTTACATTAAGAACGTCAGATTTTCATATAATCTTTAAACCCCTATTTTACCCATTTTGGGGATGAATTTCGAAAAATCCTCTCTTATAGGATGCTTACATCAAATAAAGAATACGTCCTTCACACTTCATGTTTCTACGACCAGCGGCTTAAGCTGTGCGTTAATCCATCAGTTAGTCAGGACCACCGCAGGATGCACCTCTCCTTCTGAATTCTTTCTTCAGCTGGTCTATCTTCCAGGTACAATACATTGCACAGGTAAGATGCGAACACAATAGAAGCAAAAAACCAGGTTTAAAAGAGATGAATCAATAAATTGTTTCACTCAGACTTAATGTTATTAGGCGATACGTGTAGCGAACTCCTTTCGAGAAATCTTTCGCATTGCTTGTATGACTATCCGATTTAAAGTAAGCATTTTTGACGTTTCAATATTTTTTTGGTAGGGCAACCTTTGTACTGACTCTCAAATTTGAATTCGTTTGAACGACTAATTTTTAACGACTTACCCAAACATTCAACGGTTGAAGTTGATAAAATTATAAATAATTGTGGTATTTTATGTTTTTGTGATTAAAACTATATTGTTTTAGTGTATATTTCTTCGTGCTTTATTTTATGTGTATACCATCAAGATGACGTCCGAAAAAGGAAGCAGAAAGGATAAAAATCAAAACATCCAAGTGTTTGTGAGGCTAAGGTAAAGTTTTAGGTCTATAATATAGAAAAATTAGGTTATTTAACCAATTTAATCATAAAACTACTCTGTATTACTTTGGTAATAACATTCATTATTTTGATTAATATTAAATTTAAGATATCTATGAGGAATTGAAATCGACATTTTGAAGTTAGTGCAGTAATATCGTAGCTTTCTTGATATATGATTTTGGTGTTAAAAATTCTATATTTGTTTCGTAATACGTTTAAATGTGACTTTTATGATAACAGAAGTTGTTCGATATTATGTATCATAAAAATAATAAAATTGAAATGGCTGAATAGTTACAAGGATTTTAATCATATTACAATTTTAAATAGAATATAACAAATTATTCCAGTACAAACATAAATACTTAAATATTATCTTGATATTCATAATGATGTAAAGACATTTTAAAAACTATTTCAACAAATGAAGAAAACAATTTTTACACAATATTATTTTTGATAAGAAATAGTTTTATTTATGGATATAATTTTTTTAATTAAAAAAAAGACATATTAAAAAGCATAATTAAAAAAAAAACAAACTAGTTTTTATTTCTTAATCACCTTTACATTTTTGTGTTCGAGTCTTCACATAGCAGTGTTTTAAAACTTATCATAGATTATTTTATTATATAGGTAAATTAGGAAACCCTAACAGATGTAGATAAAACCTTGTTTGATTTAATATTAGTATTGGCTTATGAAATAAATTAAAATACTTTACCATATTTTGTAGGCCCCTGAACCAAAGGGAAAGAGATATTAAATCTTTGGGTGTGGTAGAAGTTGTAAATGGACGGGAAGTAGTTGTGCGTCAATCTCAGCAGAGCATGCACACAAAGAGATTTACATTTGATCGTGCTTTTCCTCCTCATTCTAAACAGGTATTTACCAAAATTATATATTTCAACCTTTATTTTTTTTTCTTTTCTGTTTGTACAACATATTTTAAATTAAAGATATGTGATTAAACATTATACTTCTTTATTTTATTTGCAAATTAATTAACTAAATTACTTGATAATACTTTTTATTTAAAGTTCTTAACAAAATACTATTTCAGGTTGAAGTATATCAAGAGGTGGTTAGTCCTTTGATAGAGGAAGTGTTAGCGGGCTATAACTGTACAGTATTTGCATATGGACAGACTGGTACTGGCAAAACCCATACTATGGTTGGTGAAGCAGCAAACAATGAAACTACTTGGCAAAGTGTAAGAAGATTCAATAATATTAACCTTAGTTTGTGATGTTGTATAATTATAATAGTAACTCACCCGCGCTTCACTTCATTTGTCCCTAGTAAAAAACAAATCTATCCCATAGAAACCAACATTACCTTTTTCTGGGATAAAAGTAACCCATGTTCTATTCCAGACTAAAACCAATCTGTATGCCAAATTTTATCCAGATCTGTTCAGCGGTTCTGGTGTCATTGAATAACTAATCCAGCCAAACTTTCGCATTTATTATATTAATAATGGGATTTAAGAAATATGTTTATTATTTGAATATACTTACAACTGTATTTAAATCACTGACTAATTTTGGCTTAAGGCAATTATCACATTTTAATAGTCAAAATTTATTTATTACTCTATAGTTCTAAAAAAATTACTATTATTTTTTACATTATATGTCAAATATCTAATATATATGTAATAAAATATTTCCTTTTCAAATAAATAAATAATTGGACACATTAACTTCTCCAGGACCCCCTTGCTGGTATCATCCCTAGAGCTCTGAGCCAACTATTCGACGAACTCCGCATATCTAACACTGAGTACACTGTCCGTGTGTCATACTTGGAATTATATAATGAAGAACTGTTTGATCTGCTCTCTGCCTCTGAAGATAATAGCAAATTAAGGATTTACGAGGATGTTACAAGAAAGGGAGCTAATATTGTTAATGGCTTGGAAGAAATTACAGTAAGTATTATTATATTTATATATAATTGGTAAATGTACCTTACTTTTACCTGCATAATATGTGAGATGGTTGTCGAAAGACATGTGAAATTCACTAACCCACACGTGGCCAGCATGGTGGACTATGGCCTGAACCCCCTCAAATTGAAGAGAGGCCTGTGCCCAGCCGTGGGATGTTAAAAAGGACTAAATATCTGATGTGGTTTGGATATGTAGTTTATGAAAAGAAATTAAAAGCATTAAGTATCTATTATCTATGTAATAAAAAATGTGCAGTAACCTCTGCACAAATTTGAATGTCCTTTATCATTATACTTGCAAATTTTCATTAAAAAAGCTAAAGGCTTCGTACAATGTTAGGTGGTACTTTATTGATAGATATTTAAAGTGCTACACGTTTTTTTTAAATGTGAAATAGTATTATTGAAAATTGTTAAACATCAAGAAGTATGTTGGTCTAGTTCCAGCTATTAATTAAATGAAAAAAAAAAAACATTTTTTAACACTTTATTTTTTTACAGGTTTACAATAAAAATGAGGTATATAAGATAATGGCTCAAGGGCAAGAACGGAAGAGAGTTGCCTCAACACTTATGAATGCTCAATCCAGGTATAATTGTACACTTTATTTAAAATCTCAACTTAACCAAAATCTGATATCGTTTGGATATCTTTCTTATTTTCAATTTTATGATATTGCAGCAACCAGTCAGATAAAATGAAAACTGTTTTGTAAGTTTTTTTTTAAATAAATGCCACCTATTTTAGCGCATTTTCTGTATGCCTTTCATGCATTTTAAATCATGTAATTTGTTGTTTCTTAGTAATTAGAATGTAATTCATTATTGGTTACTGCAATATGAATTGAAAATTATAGTTTCTACTTAGTATTACAAGTTTTAGTACTGCCTAGGTGTCTTAGATAAACTTAGCTATTTTAATTTTATTTAGACAGAATGGTAGATTACTTAAAACACAACCCATCTTTGGGCTCTGTTGCAGTCGGTTAATTAGATTTGATTCAAACATTGATTTCATCTCTATCATTCCTAAGTTTTTTTTTTTAAAATAACTAAAATACTTTTCATACAACAACTACACAGTATCAGCCCTATAATACTTCTGTAGGGCAGGCACTAGTGTGTTTTTATTTATATACTTATACAAGCAAGCAATATGTTTTATAAGCGACCTACCGTCGCTACACTCGGGTTCGTTCGTAAATACGTTTTAACGGTTAGTATGGAATAGATAGACTAAGTATATATAAAGCATATTTTTATAAATACATATGTATGATGAGTTGTTTTGGGTTGTATTAACACATTTTACCGTGGGAATGAAATAGTCTCCCGCGGTAAAAGTTGCCTATGCCACTCTCCAGCTCTCCAACTATAAATAAATAAATTAAGCCAATCCGTCACTGTTTCGACGTGAAAGAAGGACAAAAAACAAACACACTTTAACATTTATAATATTAGTACTTAGTATGTATTGTCACTTATAAAATAATTATTTTTCAGCCGTTCCCATACAGTGTTCACTATTGTAGTGCACATGAAAGAGAACAGTCCGGAAGGTGAAGAGTTAGTCAAAATTGGGAAACTAAATCTAGTTGATTTAGCTGGTTCTGAGAATATAAGTAAGGCAGGTTCAGATAATCCGGCTAAAAGGGAGCGGGCCAGAGAGTGTGTGAATATAAACCAGAGTTTGTTGACCCTCGGTAGAGTTATTACTGCTTTGGTGGAGAGACATCCACATATACCTTATAGGTGAGCTTTGAATTATTTTTTGGATTTACTACAAATCTTAGTATTTATTTATTCTCTTTAAAAAAATTTAAAATAAGAGCTCTCTAACGGAAACCCTCGAGTGTAAGAAAAAATATATATGAGATGCGGTGTAGGTACCAACTATGAACATCAATATAAATATACCTACATACATACATACATTAGATAGATACTTACATACATACATTTATTAAATTTTAAAGATTTTTTTATAAAACCTTTATTTAAAAAATTGCTAAAAATTAATTTATTTCATCATATTAACTTATTTAAACTACATATCACGTCTAATTGAGTTTTCAAAACATTTTCATATATTAATTGTATTGGTTTAAAGCTATCGCAATTTCAAATATAATATATCAATTATATTTTTGTGTTATACTGTTTGTTTGTATGTATATACATTATACATTCATATAAACAGTTTATATACATATATGTATGTATGTATGTATGCAAGTACCGCCTACCATTTTATATACTGATTCCTATACCCTAAGGTTGTCTGGAAGAGATCACTTCTAGCGATATGGCCACCAGCTGTGCATCTTCTTTTTTACATCTATATTTCTCTTTTATTAATTTTCCTACTATCTAAAACCAACAATGTTATAACAAATGATAATACTATAGCACAATAAGTATAAGTAATATGAATTGAACTTTATTCAGAGAATCCAAATTAACGAGAATCTTGCAAGAATCCCTGGGTGGACGAACCAAAACCTCCATCATAGCCACAATATCACCAGGACATAAGGATCTAGAAGAGACTATGAGTACATTGGAATATGCTAACCGAGCCAAGAACATACAGAACAAACCTGAAGTGAACCAGAAAATGACGAAGAAGGCTATATTGAAAGATTATGCAGAGGAAATTGATAGGCTGAAAAGGGATTTGCATGCAGCAAGAGAAAAGAATGGTATAATTTTTTTTAATTTTTTTTTTATACTTTTAATTTTGTACAAAAAATTCTAGTTCCGCTGTTTTTCTTTCACTAGTTTTTCTAAGATGAGATTTCTCTTTCCCATTTTGTGGTAGACTCATGACACTCAGTAATAAATTGTGATAATTTAATTTGAATTTGAATGGTATGTATGAGGTATCATTAAATTTACCCTTCTTGTAAAAGCAGTGTGCAGGATATTTTTATAACTTGTTTTGAAACATTTGAAATTATATTTCAATATTATCTTCATTCCCTCAGGTGTCTACCTAGCTAATGAAACATTCACGGAAATGACACTAAAACAAGAAGAACAAAGAAAAGAAATCCAGGAACTGCTCCTTAAGAAGAGGGCGATGGAAGAGGAGAAGGAGAAGATGGAGAATGTGTTCAGGGAACTCCACTGCCAATTGGAATTGAAGGAGCAGTACCTGGAGAGAACTGAACAGAAACTTCAGAACACTAAAACTGCACTTGTGAATACTTCTAATGTAAGCCGTTTTTACTCATGTTTTCAAAATTATATAGCTCACTAGCGACCCTAGCTACATTTTATTTTTTTGATCGAAACCCTAATTCTTTTTCTAAAATAAAAGTAGCCTTTTTTTTCGTTGGAAAATGCATTTACGCACGAGGTGTGGGACTCACCGGCAAAAGCCAGTACTACCCACTAAAACCCAACAAAGCCTTCCCCCTTAAAATAAAAGTAGTCTAATTTACTCCTTATAACATCAGCTATCTGTCAGTGAACGTCCCGTCAAAACCAGTTCAGTCGTTTTGGAGATTATCTGGAACAAACAGATAGACAGAAATTTAAAATTTGTGTTTTATAAATACCATATATAATTTTATATGCATCTAGTATAATGCTGTTATTTTGACATTAGAGGCACTTCAATTTTATTTATCTGTATAGATGTATAGATATTTAATGTCCTTTATTGTGAATAAATGGATTCCTTTATCAAAATTCTATAACTAAGCAAACAATTTCTAGATGTTAAAAACAACGAAGCTTCAGTACGAGGAGCAGAAGCACCTGGTGAGTGCGCAGGCGCAGACGGAGAGCGCGCTGTCGGCGCAGGCGCAGGCGCTGCTGCGCGCCGCCGACGCCGCCGCCGCCGACGCCTGCAAGCTTCTGCACACTGTCGACAAACGCAAGTGGGTATACCGATATGGACTCTATGCCTTCGTATTCTGCCTTTTTTAACGTCCCACTGCTGATCAGGCCATAGTCCACCACGCTGGCCAAGTGCGGGTTGGCGGACTGCACATGTCTTTCGAAAACTTGCTAGGTTTTTCTCAGTAATGCAGTTTTCCTCACGATGTTGTCCTTCACCGTAAGGCAAGTGGTAATCACGATGAAATGATTCGCACATGAAAATATCAGAGGTGCGAGAGTCGAGATTTGAACTCGCTTCACTCGGTTTCCCAAGCGAGCGCGTTACCACTGTGCTACCACTGCCTTATATTGTCTTGGTAATAGAGAATTCGATGTATGCAAATGCTAATGGTTGTACACCTTTACGTAATGTTTTCACGTAAATATTTCTTCACCTAGCCAAATGTGTTTCTTCTATTAAGTATTATCTAGTTCGAATACTCAGTGTATAATGTAAAATGTTTGTATTTTCAGATCAGTGGAGTCAACAAACTTGGAAATAACGCGGACATATCGCGAAGTTTCGTCGCAGCACAGAAACCACCTGACGAGCGGCACCGACAACTTTGTCAGTGCTCTGACACAGACATTGAGTGACTTCCAGACTACGTTAGGTAAGTTTTCATATATTTAGTTTATATGTTTATAGTTTTTAAAATCGTGTGTTTTCGAAAAAGATGTAATTTTTTTTAGAAAAAAACACCATAGATAAACTTAAGAGGCAGAGGGTTTTCAAAATACAGTATTAAATCCGCATCGTTAGTGTTTACGAGACACATGAAGGAAATATATATATGTATATATATATATATATATACACACAAGAATAGTGAATATGCATGTTTTTTTTTATACAATAGCTAACATTGTTATGTAATTGTAAAATAAATATTCAACTCCAAAAAACTAAAATTTAGTATTAAAAAATAATATCATGCTGATACGAATACTTTAAAAGCCCGTCATTTCGCGCGCTTGGCGTGATTTCAAAGTATTGTACATAGGAAGATAACGACTTCAGTTTGTAGCGACAAAATCGCTAATCACTCTGTTACGATATACTCTGACATCATATTCGGCTTTTCCAGCCGATGAGTTCCACTCCTAACTATCTATATGTAATTTATATTTAAATATGTATAAATCCAAACTTATTATTTTTCCAGAATCGTATACAAATGACAGTACGCAGATGCACGCACAAAATAAACAAAAACTTGACAGTCTCGTGCAGCAAGCAATGGATACTATGAACAAGGTAAGTTATTTTTTGAAGTGAAACTCTTTAGAATCGTTATGATTTGAAACTTGATGAAACGGAAATGCTAAAAAGAGACAAATACATAAATATATAGGATTAAGCCGGTGAGAGAATGAGATAGAATACATTGCCATGTTGCCATGGTAACCATTGTTATTGTCTGACAAATATATAATATTATATTCTTTCCATATATGGTATTCTATAAATATATGAATGTAATAATCCGTATTAAATTATTTGAGATACGTTACACGGGGAGGGAAAAATAATAAAATTACTGAATAATATGTAATGTATATTAAGGCCAAGTAAAATGTAAAATAACTTTTAAACTTAGTAACAAATATTATAAAAAAAAAACCTTATAATCATCCTACTCCTAATACTCTATATTCATCTCATTCTCTCGTAGGTTACTTTTCTGAACTTTTGCTTCTACCGTGTGTGAATTGCACACACACGCACTTTTTTTCCTGAATTCATGAAATTTACTATATGTATAGTAGCCAACCCGCACTTGGCCAGCGTGGTGGACTATGGCCTGATTCCCCTCGTACTGAAGGGAGGCCCGTGCCCAGCAGTGGGACGATAAAAAGGGCTGAATACACTATATGTATATAACACTTAAGAATTTTCTTTTGAACATATTGTAATATAATTTGGTTATTTTCAGGTGACAGCAATTAAGAACGCGATGCAACAAGAAATTGCAGAGACTTCTCAAACTCACTGCACTCAATTCGTGCAGACGATACAAGCCAAGAGTGAACAGATACAGAACATTCTGGAAAAATTTGCTATGTGCCTGGTGACCTGCTTGCAAAAGGCCGGAGAAGCTGACTTCAGCTCTAATATAATGAATTTTGTTAACAACTGGGTGAGTGTACATAATAGTTTATTTCTTAATCAATTGTAATAGTGAAGAACAACCTTTAAATTTCATTTTCTCCCCAGAATAAATAAAAAGTTGAAATGTAACTGAAAATGTTTCATTTCGAACGAAAATCCTAGTTATACCAAAGTTAGGCGACTCACAAGTAGTATTAATAGTCATTTTTAAGGTACAGAACCCGAAGGGTGCCAATGGAACCCTATTACTATGCCTCCAATGTCCATCCGTCCATCTGCCAGAGGCATCTCATGAACTGTAATAGGTAGAGAATTGAATTTTCACAGAGTATGTATTTTATATTGCCGCTATAATAACAAATAATAAAAATAAAATGACATTTTTTTTACGTTCTTAATTTATCATCGAAGTTAATATATAAATTACTACAGACATAGAGTAAAAGGCATATTATAAACCCTTCGTGTGCCGATTCGACTCGCACTTGACCGATTTTTTTTCTCTCATAAACATATTAGGCACACAATCTAGTTTCAGAATTTGTAAAGAAAAGGTCAAATCTTATAACATTTCTTTTTTGTTATTCAGAGCAGAAAATTAAGCCTTATCAATACCCTTCCCTTACCGATAACTATATATGAAAATCTGGTTCATTAATTATTATAAATGCCAAAACGGCTGAATGGGTCTAGATGAAAGGCACAGAGATAGATTATAGTCTGGAATATCACATAGTAGGCACAAATAGGATACAGGCATTTATCAGTTGTCTCAACTGCCTGCTTGATAATTAATCTATACATATAATCAAATTTTCTGACTGAGTAGAATCTGTACATTCAATATTTTTTGGGAAATCTTATTGAAATAGTCATTATTATCGATACAGAGGCAGAATCTATAGTTTTTAAAATTTTTGTCAGTGACTGCATCACGGAAAAACCACTGGAGGAATTTTGATGTATGATGATAGGTAGTCATCCGGGTCAACATATAGGATACTTTTTACTGCAGGAAAACATCTCATCACTGAGAAATCTATACTAAACGTTTAAAAAGCTAGTATATAATAATAATATATTTTCCAGCGTACAGCCACCACCTCGAACCTCAGTAAGCTCCATAACAGCCACGCCACCCTGGAGTCCCGCGCGCGCGCCCTCGCGGCCGCCTTGCTGGGCGAGGGCGAGAGGCAGAACAAACGCCGTCGCGACGCCGCCCATACTTTAGCCCAAGATGTGCAAAATAAAATCGATGTACGTACACACTTTTTTGTCCAGACTCATACATCATCATCATCGTCGTCATCATATTGTTATTATTTGGTTTTTATAATATACTGAATAAATGATAATATGTTGGGACATTAACACACAGCACCATCATAGTTCCATGGTAAGCTACGAAGCTTGTGTATAAAAAAATTGTTAATAAAGAAATTTCATTTAATTTCACTTTGATATAAGCTGATAAATAATCGATCGGCTTAAGTTAAAGACATACATATGTATTTTAAATAAAACTATCTTATCGGATTTTTTCGTGAATTTATTTTGTTTTTTGGTTCCCGACGTTTCGAATGCCTTAGAGCAATCAAGGTCACGGGAGAGGCTAAGGTTTTCGACGTGACAAATGTTATTATATAGTTGTTACAAACAGTGCCTATCTACAAATTACAAAATGATTTCAAAAAATATAAAAATAATACAAAAAAAAACGAATGGTTAATTTTATTTAAAATGTCAAATATTCGCCTAAATCTAAGAGAGTATTACATATACTTGTATTTGCATATTACTAGCGGACTGACCCTTCTTTCTTCAGCCTAGGTCTAGGCGTCATTTTGCACGCTATATACATATATTGCGCATATTTCATTCAAATCCATCTCTTTTAACTTGGGAGTAACAAACATAGACACATATAAGCTAACTAGCAATTGAGTCTGAAAATACACAAAAAGATTCGTTTTGTAGATTTTATAGGTTAATTGATTTTAATTACATATGTATATAAGCAATATATAATAGATTTTTTAAGTCAAAATCCTTCACAATGGAGAAGTTTCAGAATATTGTTAATATCCTATTCAACACAATGGAATTATAATATAGATCAAAACTAATAAATCAGTGGATTTTTTTTTGAAATCTATCAATAAATGGCTGAAAAATTAATATAAATTTTGGTCGTTCAGGTCGTGTGTTGTCATGCCCTTATTCTTATGAGCCCAACTTTGAAGTTTTATAACTTATCATTTGTTGAGATATTTTAATAACTCATTCATACTTTTATTTTATTTTACTTAAATTTTTATAATTAATACATAAAAAAATGGAGACTTCTCCATTTTTATGCAGTAGGGTATAATAAATAATATTGACTTCACTTAAATATTCCTTATACCTATATATAATATACAAAAGATCTACAATAACTATCGATAAATACTTCTTTAAATTTATTTTAGGCTATTCTAGAGGAAAAAGATCGAACAGAAAAGCAAATATCTCAACAATTATCAGGCATACAGAACGAAAAAGAAGAATTTGAAGCTAGACTGAACAAATGGGCAGATGAGGAAAGAAAACTTTTAGAAGAACGTATCAAAAACCACATAGCATCTGAAAAGAACTTTCTAGAAAGCAAAATGAAGAAGAAACTAGAAGATTTAGAAAATCAAAGAAATACGTTTGAGAACAAGTTAATAAAAGATGTAGAATGGTTGAAAAATGTGTTGAAATTGAATGAAATAGAGGGGGAGAGTGCAACAAGAGATTTAGAAACAATTCAAAATGAGTTGGATATTTGTATGTGTGACTTGAACAATTTTGCACAAGATTATGAGAAATGTAAGTATTTTTATTGTATGCTAGCGACTCACTCTCGCTTCGCTCGGGTTTGTCCCTAGCTTGCTTCCTAATACAAACTTATCCCCATTTTCACCCGCTTAAGGGATGATTTCGGGGATAAAATTTATGCTATGTCCTTCCCAGGGTCTCAAATTATCTTCTTACCAAAAATCTAAATCAATTCAGTAGATCCAGAGTTTACCTCCTACAATGTCACAAACTCACAAACTTTACCTCTATAATATTAGTATAGATTAAATCGTGTTAATCAAAATACATTTTTGAATCTATACTAATATTATAAAGAGGCAGAGTTTGTTTGTTTGAACGCGCTAATCTCTGACACTACCGACCGATTGAAAATTATTTTTGTATTAGGTAGCCCGCTTATTGAGGAAGGCTATAGGCTACCTATATATCTTCTCGGAAAGTGTACGGTTCCCGAGGGATAGATTTGTTTGCTTATTGACGAAACCAAAGCGAAGCGATGGTGAGTCGCTAGTTATACAATAAAATAAAAATGAAAATTATAGATATATAACCATTGATTTATAAAAACATATATTTCCTAACAAACGGTGATGTCGACATGTGACGTTAACTGGAAAAAAAAATAATAATAAATTCTTTATTGACATAGTTTTCTATGTATACAGGTGATAAAGATTTCTCTAGTCCCTGCGCTCGTTAAAAACTGTGTTCTAAATTCAAAAATCAAAGAGTTCTAACTGTCTTAAACACAAAGTCGAAATTATGCAAACCACATAAAGTACTTTTTTAAACGAAACGTGCGTTTTAATTTTGTTATCCAAAAAGCAATGAACAAAAGAGATTTGAAAAAAAGCGCAATTCAATATCTCTTCGTTTTGAGGACACTATTGAGACACCAATTGTGTATTTTGAGTTTTTTTTATATCAATGGATATAATGAATAATTCAGACTTTACATTCGTTTGGTGATATTTTAATATTATCTATTTTATTGCAGCGAGGGTTGTATTATCTTCGAATATGGATAGTTTAAGTGATGGAACAGTGCAAGTAGTGGAGCAAGTAAAAGTGGATCTATTGAATGACCTGGCACATACACAAACATATGTACAGGTAATTTAAAATTTATATATATTCTTATTTTTACTATATTTATATGTAATATTTGTGATATGAGAAATAAAGTATTATAAAACACATCTTTTCGGTGTTTTTAAAGCGTGTTTATATTGAATTTTTTTTTGTGTATTTTGTACCAATAGACTCTACATTTAAAAGACAAGAAATAATTCTCTATTAAAAACTCTTTCGGTAAGTGGTCCGTTTGGACTAACAAGCACTAAGGCGACGTCATGCTAAGATAATTATATATTTTCAGACTGAATCCAATGCCCTGCTAGAGGAGAACAAACAGACAATGAGCCTTCTCGCGGAAGACTCAACTAGGCTGGTCGAGGCTATAGTGCAGAACTGCCAAAGAACTATGGACACTGTTGTTGGGGAAGTTCATGTAAGTGGTTTTATTTATTTTTTTAACTTCTCTTTTCTTCCTTATAGGGTAGAAAGAGATAGAGCAGATAGACACATCATGACTTTTTTGTGTCTTTGCCAACTAGCACTAAGGGAACTTACCCATGGTATGTGACCCGTTCAGGGGACAATTTTTTTCTGTCAGATGTCCTGTCATATCATGTCATGTGTAGCACAGACGGTGATTTTAAAAACATTTCAATAAATTGTAAGATTGCGTGCTGTTCGGTCATTATAGATTTTAATTTTCAATTAGAAATCCCAGCTAAACCCCCCTATACGCGCACAAGAGGGTGGGTCTTCAAAATACCACTCTTTGTCACAGGGGTGAGTGCAGAGTTCTTAGGTCTTCCTTACGTAGTCAATATCCTAATAAGCAAATATGAGACATTTTTTTTTTACTTTCTATTAGTAAAAAGTTATTTAAAACCATATTTACGAATTGCTACGCGAAAACTAGAGTGGGGGAAGGGTCCTTGGTATATTCTACAGGTAAAAAATGGGTCGTATCGGTAAAATGTACGGTTCCCTTGTGATAGATTTGTTTTTATTTTCCGCTGCCGCTGTGAGCCGCTAGTGAATAATAAAAGTCTAATTAAATTATTTCTGCCCCCAGGTAACATCAACATCGGCAATCCAAGAGTTGTCATCGCTATCTACCATCACATCAAATCTCTCTTCGGAGACTCAAGGTTACTCCAATAGCCAGAAACACACCCTGAACACCATGCAAAGACAGACGGAGCAGTTCTACAACGGTATAAGGGAGGAAGTGTTCAGACTTGAGGAGTTGGAGTCGAGGTGTTTGAATCAAGAGTACGCTGTGTATTGTCCATCTGGTAAGTTAATTCCAGCAATATAACATATTCGCGTTTGTATTATGTGTTACCATACCTTTCAAAATCACGCTTATCCGTTACTCCGTTTCGACGTGAAAGAAGGACAAACAAACAAACACTTTTACATTTATAATATTACTAGCGACTCACCCTCGCTCCGCTGCTCGGGTTCGTCCCTAGTTACCTTTTAACTTTTAGTAAAGATTTCTCAGAGATGAGATATTTATTTACTCGCAGTAAAAAGTATCGTACGAGTATATGTTGACCCGATAACCGGCTATCATTATACCAAATTTCATCAGACAGACAGACAAAAATTCTAAAAACGGTAGATTCGGCCTCTGTATCGACAATAATGTCTTATTTCAATAAGATTTTCCAAAAAGTATTTATTGTACAGATTCGGCGTAGTTACAATTTTATTATATGTACAGACTGTTTTATTATATTTATAGAGTGAGAGACGATCTCCCGCGGTAAAAACTAGCCTATGTCACTCTCCAGCTCTCCGACTGTCTCCACACCAAAAATCACGCCAATCCTTCATTCCGTTTCGACGTGAAAAAAAAAATGACAAACAAACACACTTTCACATTTATAATATTAGTATGGATGGATGCGTTTTTAAGTAAATATAATATAATAATTCCAGGCAGCACACCCGTGCGGGCGGAGTACCGCTACCCGCGGCAGTTGGCGGCCACGTCGCCGCACGAGCGCGTGCTGGCGCGCTTCAGGGCCATGCGACAGAACAGCCATGACGATGTAATTGTATTTACCTTATTTCTATAAGTTTTGTTTGTTGTAGCAAGGTTTCGAAAGACATCTGAAGTCCGCCAACCCGCACTTGGCCAGCGTGGTGAACTATGGCCTGCCCCTCGTATTGAAGGGAGGCCCGTTTCCAGACGATCACGATAAGACCTTTCGAATTTTTCATATATTTAATTTGTGTTTTGATGTTTTCTATTTGTTTGAAAATATTAACCTTAATTTAAAGACAAATAGAAAAAGATATCAATATCAAGATAAAGTAATGATTTAAATAATCCATTTTTATTAGGATTGCATTGTAATCGAGACGGAGGGCGAAGTCCGAAGTGACACGGAGTCGTCGGCGTCGGACGACTCCGCGTTCGCGGCGCCTTCGCCCCCCGCGCCGCCCGCGCCCACCCACGACTGGAAGAACCACATCGTTAAATGCACTTCCGAAACTGATTTGTATTTAAAACGAGTAAGTATTTACTTGTTATTAGACTGCTATTGTATATGCTAAGGTTTGCGTGTGTGTGTGTGTGTGTGTTTGTTGCTAGCTAAACGCAATTCAGCCAAAAATCCAAAAAAAAAAAACTAAAATTTACTTAAAACACTTATTTTAATTGCTTACTTAATGTAAAAATCAGAATTAATTCTAAACAAATATTTTGAGTAGTAAAGTAAAATATTTAGTCCCGCTGAGTTTTTTTTTTCGTCAGTTCTCAGGTCTGAGGCTTCTTCTTTCCAAACTGGTAGTAGACTCGTGACGTTCAGTAAAAAATTGTAATAATTATCAGCATTAGCTACGAGTACATAAGATATTCTGAATTTTTGAAAAAACTTGAACCAAAATAGGTTACAATAAGATGCATATGTCACAGAATGCTGACTCCGCTGTTCGTGTCGCAAGCGTACTTTTAAGTCAGCGCTCTTATAGCACTCAGCTTCTGATTTGGGTGATATTTTTTAGTACACAGATTATGGTCTGTCTGGCTATTGTTAGTAACAATTTTAGGAATTATTTATATGTTTTGTACGTACATTTTACATTGTTTTATTTAACCGACTTTAAACAAAAAGTATTTCAATACTTTTTTAGATTTACGCGAATATTTGACTACTTTACAGGAGAGCCTCTCCCGTGACCATGATTGTTGTAAAGCATTCGAAACTTCGGGAACCAAAAATCAAAATAAATCCGCGAAATCATCCGAAAAGATAGTTTTATTTAAAAAGTATTTTTTTAAAGTCATTCATTCTATTTTTTTGAATATGATAGGTTTGGTTAGTTTACTTATTTGGTTTCTAAATACTTGGAAAAAATAACTTTTATAAATATTTCATAAATACATATTTCAATATATTTTCAAAATAAACTTAGGATTACTGAAAAACACTAATAAAGTACCTTTATTTCAGCGACAGCAAGAGCAACAAGGAAAAGAAAACGTGAACAGATCCATGTCTTTCAAGAAGCCCTCCAAACTGCCCGCCCCTGCCTCACATAAGAAACCGCTCATAGAAAGAAATGATAACTGACAGTATTAAATATATATTACATATAGGTTATGTGAATGTCATCAAAATCTGTTCAGCCCAGGGCTCGAAACCGATTTTAAGAAAACCGTTTTATTTCGGTACTGTAATGGTTAATTCAACGCTCGTACTTTAACCGGTTAATGAAAACGAATTGTGTAGTAAACCGAAATAATAATGATTAACGGTTATTCTTAAAAGAGGTTGAATTTCGGTTTAGTACCGAAATAAACAGGTTAATTCATTATTCATTCAGGAAATTTTACTCTGTATTAAGCAATTCACCATTAGCATAGATTCGCCAAATGTAAACGCAGAAAAACTCATTTAAACCGGTTAAATTTGATCATCGAACCTTAATTAGTGAAAAACCGTTCTCCCAAATTTAACCGGTTAAAGAACGTAACCTAAACCTTGAACCGAAATGCCTTTCGGTTTAGGTCATTGACCAAAACCAGTTTAAAAATGTACGGATTTCCGAGCCCTGGGTCAGCCTAAAATATATGATTATATTTAAAATTAATATAATAAAACAAATACGTGTTGGCAAACGTATATTTCTCTTTATATCCATTGCTATATAATTGTACTAATGTTTTAACTTTTGTATAAATTCTTATTCGTTTTCTTTTTACTATGAACTTATTACTGATAGCAGGATTCTTGCGAGCAGTTTTGCTGAAATATTCATATCGATATTTAAAAAGTTATAAAATATTTAGTTTTAAATATGACAAAATATTCAAGAAATTAAAATCTAAAGTAAAAATAACATTCAGATTAAGTAGTATTCAAAAATCCACCGAGTTGTTTCAAATTATTTAAGGCATTGTATCTATAGTTACTCGTAATTAATTGAAATTTAATTTTAAAATGTGAATTAGGAAATTATGAACTTAGAATTGAAATATAGGTAATAGGCTAAAAATATTTTAAAAAATAAACATGGCTTTACATTTTTTTAATCTTAGTATGACCGTTTTTAAAGTAATATATGTACAAAATCTATACAGATAAATAAAATTGAAGTGTCTGTTGGTAATATCAAAATAACAGCATTTTACTAAATGCATAAGAAATTATATACAGTACTTATAAGAAAAACACTTATTTTTGCCTGTCTGTTTGTTCCGGCTGATCTCCTAAACGGCTGGACTGATTTTGACGGATCTTTCACTGGTAGATAGCTGATGTTATAAGGAGTAACTAAAGCTACTTTGATTTTAGAAAAATAATTAAAACGTACCATACAGTAGTGAATAAAATATTAATTGTGTTGGCTTAATTCACTTTTCATCTCTCGGTATCTGATGTGAATTGAATCCAAGACGTAAACTGTAATATTGGGATATTGAAATATATTTGCTATTTTATTATAACACACTCTAATTTTGTGCATTATTTAATATAATATACCTTTAGTGTAATTGTGATTTGAATATAATAAATATATATATAAGCACTAAACATGTATTTTTTTACCCTGTTCTTTTTATTCTATTTTGTTATTTTGTACAAATTCAAAAACTTTCGCATTTATAAGTCTAAACTAATACATATTATAAAGAGATAAAGTTTGTGAATTGTGAGTTTGTGACGTTGTAAGGGGTAATCTCTGGAATTACTGAACTGATTTAGAAGAAATTTGGTAAGAAGAGTTTGAGACCCTGGGAAGGGCATAGGATACTGTTTATCCCGGAAATCATCCCTTAAGAGGTTGAAAATGGTCATGAAAGTTTGTATGGGGAATCAAGCTAGGGACGTACCCGAGCGAAGCGAGGGTGTGTCGCTTGTATATTATAAATGGGAATTGTATATTATAAATGGCTTTGGCTAAGTAATTAAAGCCTACCTATTAAATACATACCTAATCAAATATTTTCGAAATCGGTGCCAGCCCATACAAAGCAAAGCACACCGACTTCGAAAATATTTGGTTAGGTATGTATAGTAAATGAAAACTACCAATCAGTTATTTTTTACTTTTAAGTGCTTTTGTTTGAAGTCGGTTTTTATTTTTTTGTTAAAAAGTTTTTATTACTATAATATTTTCTTAAATTCCAAGCAATTTTGAAACAAACATCGATAGGTCATGGAGGTATTAAGGTTTGGGAAATGATTACTTGAAAAAAAAAACAATTTTTCGTTTTTTATTTATTAAAAAACTAAATTACAGCACACAGACTATATTCTAAACAAAGTAATAATTTATAAATGCGTTTATTCTATTCCACTTAAAAGAATGAAGTGAAATTTCTAAATAATATTTACATCACTCTGAATGGAGTGAAATATGTAAAATGAAATGGTTTAAAATTATAAATTTCAATACCATAGCCTTTATATATTAATTAAATACTAATTAATAACATTACTGTTTGGTTCATAAATTATAAACTAACAAATACATATTCAGCATATTTTATCAGGTGCTTTAGGTTGACGGCCATTTTCTTCTTTAAAAAAAATTATCAATCGATAAAATATGCAACGTTCAATAACAGATAAATAATAATCTGACACAGTTTTAAATACACACAATAGGGAGAGACTCCCGTGACAATAAATGCTGTAAAGCATTCGAAATGTTGGAAACCAAAAATCAAAATAAATCCACGAAATAATCCGAAAGATAAGTTAGTGTAAATCTAAAAAACTATAACCTGACACAAATATGTTGATCTGTTAGAAAATTTTAATTAATTCTATACATTTAATAAAAGTGTAACTGATCGCTGCCTGTACATGGGAGATATTTGAGAAAAATTATTAAGCAATAGAACCCAAAACAATGATTTTTAGAATTTTTGTCTTATTGTCTGTGCGTTAGTACGCGCTGATCTCAGAAACGAGTTGATCGATTTGGTTGCGCTTTAGACTAATGATTGTGGTAAGCTTCACTTAACATTTAGTATTTGTTTTATTTCAATCGGTTCAAAAATAAAAAAGTTATGTCAATTCAAAAAAGTCACCTAGGGACAAGCCCGAGCGAAGCGAGAGTGTATCGCTAGTTTATTGAATAGATTTTTTGTCAAAAATTATAGCCAGCCTTGTAGTTACTTCGGTAAACTGAATACAAAATGGTGGGAAAATAAATAGCGTTTATTAATAACTATTTTAAGCTAAAATAAATATCTTATAATAGGTATATTTTATTTACATTTTACCTCTTATAAATAAAAAAGTAAATGCCTTCAATAAATAAAAAAAAACAATATAAATATTTTTTCCTAAAATTGATACACATAGGATGTGTTGAAACCTTTAAAAAATTTTAAAATTTTATTAGATTTACGGAAAATACCGAAACCTATACTTTTTTGTCCTCGAAAATATAAAAAATAAGTATGAAATAACCTGTATTTTATACTTTTAAATATACCATTAATATCTTGATTTTATATATTTTTAGGGCTGATGAATGAAACTCAAATATTTAAATATTAGATACTATATCTAAATATGTGCGTTTTTTACCTTTAAATTAGTAATTAGGGCTCATAAAGCGACATTAAAGAGGACGTCAAAAATAACTAAACATCAAAATGCGGAACGAAGTTGTATCTTGATCTGAACTTTAAAAAAATATATGAATTTCTAACTCTCTGTAAATGACTTGTTTATGGGTTTTTCGACAGTATTTAACGAAGTACACTTCTTCCATGTTTAAATTCTTATAGATTATTAACAGATATAATTTGATTAATCCATCCAATGAATGAGGACACCTTCACGTATACTCCGGGAACGTCCCGCCTGCCACAGCCGAAGCCCCACGACACTAATCCTACTAACTCATAGAAACCATCGTCTTGACACACGAGAGGACCACCTCCGTCACCCTAAAAAATAATAAATAAGTTCAAAATTTGCAGGAAATACAAAACAACATATAAAAAACATTTTAAAAAATGTGTGTATGTACTTGTGTACGCACGTAAGAAGTTATAATTCTTTGACGTAGCCGAACAAAAATAGCTAAAGACTTCATCCCATATGACACAACTCTCTGTTTGTAAAAGGAACGCAGCTAACTTCATCATGTCGCTTTTTGGATATCGGTGTGCGCGCGCATCGTAAAAATTTTACTCTCGAAATTCGTACCAAAAGATACATAATTTCAAAAAATTAAAAATATAATTAATAACATCCTCAATTATTTCGAACAGCAGCTTATCTCACAGGCACAAGCCATGTGCGCTGGAGATAACAAGTATGCGAACAAACAAACAAAACGAAATAATTTGATACTTGCGATGAGAAATCAAGCATTCTCTACTTCTGGCCATTACTAAGAATTTCTTGAAAGAAAAAGCTACTAGCTATACTTGGCCTGGTCCGGGTCTCGAACCCAAGACCTCCAGATCTGTACATAGAACGTACTAGAGCTAGACCAACAAGGCATTGAAATAAAATAATTTTTAATATTATGAAAAAACACTAAATATTGTAATAAACAATGAAAAGAAAAATCCACTCTCTGAATTATTTACTAGTACTTTTCGGTCCTCTAAATAATAAAAATCTAAACAAGTTTGTACCAAAGACATTTTTTTTATCTCTAACCTGGCAAGCGTCATTCCCTTCCTCGCCGCCCGCGCAGAAGGAACTCGCGGGCAAAATAAAGATTTTCTCAGTCACGGCGTTCACTTTGCGGATGCATTCTGCGTCGCTCACAATAGGCAGCTCGGCTTCACGCACACGCAACGGTATGGGACCGGCTGGAAGTCAAATAATATACTTTGTACACAAGGTATTTTTTTCCATTTTATATGTATATTTTTTGCGGTACATAAATAAATATTCAATTAATATATACAAATAGGTTATATTTGTAGCGATATTATATACGATTATATATCTATACGTATACATGTCACACAACTATTATTAAAACTATACTAATATTGTAAAGAGGTAAAGTTTGTGAGTTTGTGACGTTGTAGGGGGTAATCTCTGAATCTACTGAACCGATTTAGATGAAAGGTAAGAAGATAGTTTGAGACCCTGGGAAGGACAGGATACTTTTTATCCCGGAAATCATCTCTTATGGGGGTGAAAATGGGGATGAAAGTTTGTATTAGAAAGCAAGCTAGGGACAAACCCGAGCGAAGCGAGGGTGAGTTGCTAGTATTATTAATAATGGTTATACTAGCCGAAAGTTTGTCTGTATGTGTATGTTTGTTAGCAACAGCTTTACATATTTGGATGATATTTAGTACACAATTAGGCACCAAAGCATGCAATCGAGGGTAGGTTTAAGAGATGGTATATGGCTAGTATAAATACTCACTTTCCCCCATGTAGCCGTACCCGGTGACCGTGCAGCGCTTGCCCGCCGCGTGGCTCACCCCCCGCGCCGGCAGGCACACGAGGCACACGCCTGCAAACATCATGTTGTTATAATTGTGTGCCAATAAAATTATATCATTCATATAAATTGTTATAATAATAGCCTAGTTTTATAGTCCATCCTAAAGACCCTTTTAGTTTTGCCTATTTTCCATAGTATCTACACATAAATATTACCCGGAGACCATCTTTCAGCAATTCCCTTTGGGTTACTCAGAGATGGATCCCGGCTGATGTGTTACATTAAACAAACTTGAATCTCCTAAAGGGGCCTCTACGTGTAGAACCAGTGTCCCCACGCAAACCTTCAAAAATACCGGGCTCCTTCGAGACTGTGAAAATTGAACTCCTAAGAGATCAAATAATAATAATAAATGTCCTCCTTATGAAATGTACTTTTGATTTTGAACACCTTGCTACTGAGAAATTATAGATAAAAACTCCAATAGCTAAAATCCTAGATCTTACACTTAAAACTAGCTTAACAGTATTTAATACATGTAATATTTATTTAAAGATACTACTCTATACTCAGCTCATTTTATTTTTCTATTGCATATTTGTAGTACCTATATAGTATATTGCAACGATCAATACCATTTAACTGTTTATCTGTTTGGCTAATCTAATCTCCGAATCGATTTTACTGAGAGATTAATACAGATATAGCCTATTTTATTGATTTTGATGTGAATAATATACGTTAATAATTAACGACCAAAACCTAATAACACTATTTTCCTTATTTCTCAAACAATTTCAGTAAAACATATCATACCCTCTTTAAGTTCCGCTTTCCCATGCAATTTTAGAAGTGCAATATCATTGTCCAAGGTCTGGCTGTTGTGGTTGTGGTGTATGTAGGTGGTGGCGACGCGCAGCGTCTGGGCGCCGGGCGAGCCGTACTTGCGCGTGAGGTCGTGGTCGCCCACCCGCACGTATATCGCGTCACCAGAGCGGACGATGCTGGAAGCGAATCATTCAATATTTGAGAAATAAAATTATTGACACATTATTTAAGACATTAAAACAGTATTCATTTATTTTAAAAAGTATTGAAAGTTACATTGAGTTATTGTGAAGTATAAAGTCTTAACTATACTGAGTTATTTGATCAAGATACAGGATACTTTATTATGATACTGGCGACTCGCTCTCGCTTCGCTCAGGTTCGTCCCTAGGTACGTTTTGACGTTTAGTATAGAAAAGATTTTTTTCTTATATTTTTTTTTCGGGAATTTTTCTGATGTTTTAATAGTTATTCTGCTATTCGGGGTGAAGACAAATCTAACAAATTACCAAATAAAGATCATAAAAATCGGTCCAGCCTTTCTCGAGTTATAAGACTTGTAACAAACCCGACTTTGTTTTATATAAAATAAAGATGTAGATTATGGCAATTGGTCTAAGTGGCCACTGTTCTCGTTTGTGTGTAATGACGAAATGAAATGAATGATGATGAAATGAAATCTATTAATAATAATTAAGTAAGATTAAAGTACTCAGACCTTACATATTCAGTTTCGCTAAAAGACAGTTGGTTTTCAATATATTAATAATTTTATTTTTTGTAAAAATAATAATTTATTAAATATAAAAAAATGTATATATGATTTATTCTAAAAGAATTATGAAAATCGATTCGCAACATACGACAAAATCAATCGAATGGAGTCCGTTCTCTCTTTAATGAAGTTGATCAAAAAAGTATTACGTTTTCAGCTGAGTCTCAAGCTAACTTATAAATAAAACTTATAACTTACCCACAATAATAGCTCAAAAGCTACTTAGTAGCATAACTACCAGTAGCTTATCGATAACTTAAACAAAAGACCTACTTAGTAACACAGTGAGCCGCAGTCAACACCCACTGGGTGCCGATCAGCGCAGCGCCGCACAGGTACTGGTTGAGCGAGTTGATGAGCGCCACCTGCCAGCACCACTCGCCGCGCTCGCCGTCCTCGCCGCCCATCACGCGGCCCGTGCGGCTTGTCGTGCCTGGAGTTATGTTATTTATTTATTTACAGGAAAATTAAATAAATACGTGTTTTAGCATTTCTCGAAATTCATCCTATTAGGGGGTAAAACAGGGATGAAAGTTTGTATGAAACTACCATTTTAGAGATTTTTTTTGTAGTTATAGCGCGAGCGAAGCTGCGGGCTCTGCTAGTCTAATTATATAATAAAGTAGCAATACCCGCGGCCCGCGTTCAAACTACTAAAAAATCTTTGACACACCGACTGCAGCGTCACCTATCGGGTCCTTTTGTGAATTCAAACCTTGCAGGGAACTCGAACTTGAACATACACGAAAAATATCATTAAAACCGTCCCTGCCTTATAAGAGTAGATCAGTGACATACCAACAGCAGTACCATCTACCGGGCCAATTGTGTTTTCAAACTATCCATTGAAATCTACACACAAAATTTCATCTAAATCGGTCCAGCCATTTAGGAGTAGTAAGGTGACAAACACGCGTACAGAAGAATTATATATAGCAAATAAGTTTCATCATGGGTATCTCATGATCTCGGACTCATTGGCGGCCAGTCATAACTTGTTATGAAGGATTGCTTACTGATAACATAATGAATTTGTCAAAATCGCACAATACCTTTTACGCCGCAGACGTATTTGTTGTATTTCTCAGGAGTTCTCAAAGTGGTTACATAATTGGGTTCGTATTGAGCTGAAAAGGAATTAAAATAATATTATATTATTACAATTAATTTAAATAATTCAATACTTTTTAACGTCACGGGCCTCCCTTCAACACGGGGGAGATCAAGTCATATTCGACCACTCTGACCAAATGCGGATTGGCAGACTACACATAACTTTTGTAAACAATTGATAGATAGGTTCTTTCATACATGCAAGTTTCCTCACGACGTTTTCCTTCACCGATAAGACAAGTGGTAATTAATTATGGAAATAATTCTCACTGTGGTGCGAGACACGGAATTTGAATCCGCTTCACTCTTCACTTCACACTTTACCCTAGCGAGTGCGTTACCACTAGGCTACATCGGCCTTAATTAACATATAAAATATTATATTATAATTAATTTAAAAAAAAAATTATTGGAAAACAGAACCTCCAGTTGTATGTACGTAATAATATAGATTTTTTATTTCGATTGAGTTAACTCTGGGTGTGGTGTGTACTCACGTAAGGGCGTGGTGTAGGGCAGCGTGTGCGGCAAGGGGTGCGTGTTAGGCGCGGGGTACGCGTGCGTGAGCGTGGTAGCGAGCGGGAACGAGTCGTTGCGGTTGACGCCGATCACCTCCTGCACTTTGGACTTCGGCGCGCAGCACTGGGTGCCTGCCTTTTTGCATTTGAATACATCCGTCATTTCTGCGTTTCCTGTAAAAGAAATTAATATGATTTGTAATAATATAATCCTTTTGAATGTTATTGGAAATATTTCATTATGTCTTCATGACTAACATTATTATTAGCCAGAGCAATTATTATCGGTAAAGAAAACAGATCAATATATTACTATTTGAGAGTTTTGAACACGTTTTATAATAATAATAAAAATTATGAATATTATATAATATATTAAATCATATTTCATTCAAAAATACATACGGAAACATGTAAAGGAGAGTAGTGAGACGATGCAAGAGCCCGGACAGTCTGGTCGAGGGTCTACTGGAGCGGGCGTGGTCGAGGTCGTAGTCGTTGTAGTCGGGCGGGGAGTAGTGCGTGGTACCCTAAAAAATATATAAAATTCTTAACAACTATCATAATATTGAGGAAATATACTTATATGTTTCAACAAGTAAATATAATAAGCTGGATAAAAAAATAGGTAAATGTGTGGTAAATTGGAGTAGGCGATAGGAACCACAACATACTGGCAAAATTTGAGTTGACAGACTTCACAGATTCTTCGAAAATCAGTAAAAGGGTTAATTAAGTAGACATGCAGATTTCCTCGCGATGTTTTCTTTCGACGAATATAATAATCTCAGAAAGAGTGTTGGGTTTCAACCCGTTTCACAGTTCATTGGACTTCCCAAGCGAGCTCATTAGTAGGTAATAGGCGCTACTGAACTGCTATAATTTATTAAATAATTGATACTTAATCATTAAAAAATCTTATTTCTATGTACCTAATAATAATTTACTATAGTTGATTGGGCTATTTCTATTCTATTGCAAACAAAAATAAAATCTCTAACTGTTTTCCCAGTCCTCTTGTACCTACTGTCCTATGAACAAAGCATTATGATCATTTTAGTATATATGTATACAAAAATATAAAATGGATACAAGTGTTTTATCGTCAACATACAGAAAAATAATATTATTATCCGCATACCTGCTGCTGTCACAACAGACATAACCCGATGACTTGCAGTGAGTGTTAGAGACGAGCACGGCTGGACGCTCGCACAGCCACGTCACCGCGCTGTGGAGGCACTGTCCCGGACACCTGGGTAGAGGGGCCTGGAAATATAAGAAAAATAAAGTCTTAATATTTGTTTTAATGCAAGAACTACCTATTTTCTTAAAAAAAAGCCATTATATTCGCTATATTTTTAAGAACAAATATGATCTTGGCAAGATCTTACAACTCAGAAACGATGATAATTAAAAATGATATAGCTCCAATCATATCTAGTATTTTTTGTTTATATAACAAATAATACAGATACCAATTGCTATCCCGTTTTCTACGCACTGCTTATTTATGAGAGACCAACTTAAAATGAACATATTTTTGTTTTACAAACAGACTAACACTTTATTTGGAAGGTTTTAAAGATCCTATACGGCAATGAAATTCATACCCTGTCTAAATCTAAATAACAGAAAAGCTACATACATTTAATGCATAGGCCAGATATGAGACAGATACTTATCATAATACAACAAAAAACTTACTGGAGTAGTAGGCCGTGTCGTGGTCGGTCTGCGTGTAGTCGTATCGGTGTTGTAAGAGTCGATCAAGCAACAGGTACTGTCCGCCGGACAGGACGCATCTGCGTCTATCTCGCATAAGTACACATAGAGACCCGTCATGCATTCCCCTCTACATTTCTTGTTCTTTTGTTTTGATGCCGGCGTCGTTACCTGGAGATGACAATATATTTTTATTAATAATTAAAAGATTTACTAAACATCTAGGTGTAGATCTAGATCCGTCCAAACGTTTCAGCGTGATGGTGTAAAAAACATACAAACAAAATCCCGCACTTATTATAATAGAATAGTCCGAACCGTTGGTGGACTTCACATGTCTTTTCAAAACTTGCTAGGTTCTCTCAGACATGCAGGTTTTCCCAGTATAAATCCTTTCGCCCTTAGGCAAGTGGTTATCATGTTGAAAATTACTCGCACAAAACCCGCGATTTAAATGCGCTATATATAGAGCTTAGCATTTTTATATTATTTAAAAATCTTTATTCAACACATACTGCAGTAGTTGGTCTCTTAGTGGAGTGCTTCTTTTCGTTAGGCACGACCAGATCAGGGGGGCGTTTGTCCCCATACCCGTCCTTGGACACGCAGCACAGCCTCCCAGAGACACAGAGCTCGCTGGTAGTAAGGTACGCCTCACAGTACTGAGTGAGGCGGGACTCTACGCATACTCCTGGGCAGGCAATGTTACCTGAAAAATATACAATACAATATCATTTTTTTGTTATTCATTTGTTTATAATATATGTGGTAATAGAATTATTAAAACACATTTTATCATCTTTCTTTTTCTCTTTTTTTTCCTATTTGCTTTACCTTTTTCGGAAAATCATCTTATCATATAAAATAAAATATACTTTATTCAAATAGACTTTTACAAGAACTTATGAATCGTGACTTTTCCACTTAAATTAAATGTCAATGTAGTAAGTCAGTGAGGAATCTACCACCGACTCAGAAGGCACATTTGCTGAGAAGAACCGGCGAAAAACTCAACAGTTGTTCTTTTTAAATATAATATTAATTTACTATATATCTATACGTCAATATTTTTCTTATATTCTGTTCTTATATTAATTATCTTCATGATTATAAAATCTTAGTTGCTGAGTATAAACCTGTCTAAATTCAGCGGAAACCTTAGAACCCTCAAAGTATATTAAAAATTATTTTATACTTTGCGTGTCAATTGATCGTAATGCATATTATATCCTAATAGTTAATAGGGTGTACCTAATAATTACCACTGTCTTTGTATTTGTCGTACGACGTTCTGGTGGTCGTCTCCTCGTCGAAGTCAGACTCGGTGGTCGTGTAGCGCGTTGTGAACGGCCTTCGCGTTGTTGTTGTTATTGTGTCGTTTCCTGAAATTATACCATTTTATAAAAATATACAGTAATCTTATAAGTGACTAGCGACTTACCCTCGCTTCACTCGGGTGCATCCCTACGTTTTAATTTTTTTGAGCTGAACCCATAATTTTTCTAAAATAAAAGTAGCCTAAGTTACTCCTTATAACATCAGCTATGTACCAGTGAAAGTCTCGTTAAAATCGCTCAAGCCGTTTCAGAGATTAGCCGGAACAAACAGACAGACGAAAAAAAATTAAATTATGTTTTTCTTTTAAGACTGTATAATATGATTTCATATGCACTTAGTAAATATCTGTTATTTTATTGTGTTTAAATGTACATATATTTGATATTTCATCAAGACGAGTATTGATAGGACATAAACATTTACTTAACAGTATTGAGTCATGCAATAGGCAGCTGTAAGCACCTTCAAAAATATAGTTTGAAGACAAATCTCTACATTATTTTTGATTTAACAACAATAAACAGAATATTATATAAGAACAATAAATATTAACACATGCATAGGACCATAACATGACAACAATTTTGTACTAAAAAATTACTTTGCCTCGAACCAAACTTAATTAGGTACCTATATATGGGGATACATTATTTTAGTCAGATATAATATGTTTTCCAAAATTTATTAAAATTTTCAAAATTTAGACTTACATATAATAGGCTAATTTGATAACTTACATATATAATAATTACCTATAATATCTGTATTTTCTTATTAAACTACTATGTAATGAAACACTTAGGCATCAATATGAGACTTGACAGAGATATGTACAGAATAAAAATATGTGAAATAACATCAAAACTAACCAAGTGGTTCATCGACACAGCACTTCATCGACGAGTTGGGGCACTCGACCTCTTCGAGCACTGTGGGGCACATGAGGGAGGCCAGCGCGTGCATGCACACGCCGGGGCAGTTCTTCGCATCTTCCTGTGTGTCCAATGACTCCAGAAGACCTAGAATGTTAATAAAATCCTTTATCGAACTACCAATTATAAATATGAAAGTTTGTAGTGTTTATGTTTGTTGATCTTTCACTTCGATCAACAATGCTACTGTTGATTGAAGCTCCTTCACGTTATAATGGCTGAACGGATTTGGATAAAATTAAGTATACAGATAGACTATGATCTGAAGTAACTTATATGGTACTATTACGTACCAAGAGACGTACCCCAGCAAAGCTAGGGTAAATCTCCAGTCATGTTATAAATCATTCCGTGGCTGGAAGCTATTAGTATACAGCAAAAACAATCTAAGGCGAATGTGAAAAATCCATTATCTCAATAATTATTTGCTATTGCCTAATACATATTTAAATGTGTCTCTTCTAAATGATAAGTATTAACCATATTCCCATTTCCAATACCATAAAAATCGGTATAGTCCTACTACAGACGGAGATAACGTAGGTACCTACATATATAATATTGTAATGCAACTTCGAAGTTACAAACATTTAATAACGATAATATCGCGACATACACAGATCTCGCAGACGAAGTCTACGACAGCGTTAGTAAAACGTATGAATATATCACAGATGCGCGTGCGCAGATCGCTGACGCATAGTTACGCTTTAGTGGGCAGCGGACCTAACTGGTAACTGCTTTTTATTCCCGCATCGTATCGAGCCGCTTTTAGCCTTGTGAGAACGAATTCTTGGAAAGAAAAGAGATAGACTACTAGGTAGCTTTCACACTGAATGGTCTAGAATGTTGTTGAATAAGACATATTTGCAAAATTAACACTTTGAGTAAAAACTGTACTGTTCATTACGGTCCTGCGCGGTGATCGATGCTCCTGCCTCGATGCCTGAGGAAGAAAATTTGATTCGTCTAGGAAATGTTTTGTAATTAATAATATATATTGATTATTTTTAAGTTCAATGAAATCAATGAAATCAAAATCATCATTTCATTTGACTATTACATAAGTATATTGTATGTTTCTATAACAAACCTCCTTTGTTTTTTCAGTTACCCATTTTTATTACTATTTAGATATAATATACCACTGCCTACTAATAATAAAAATCAGTATGTATTCAAAATTATTAGTCTTCTACCTTATCGTATATAATATATTAGTTCCAAATCATTAATTCAACGAAACAATATTTTATCTAACAAATCATCTTCCCAAATCTCATTACATCTCGCCATGGCCTTCACCTACAGCCACAAAAAACATTAAAAAACTACACAAACAATAGCACGGAATAATCAGCCTTATGATCAGATGCAGGTTCATTTTAACCTAGAGAATCACAACAATCGAGATAACTCTGGAATTTTTAATATGATTTTCGATCTTATTGCTATAAAAATAAGCCTAGTTTTCAATATTTCCCTAATGTATCATTTTGAAGATCACCTGCATGCTATTCTCGATCTTATTATCTAACATACTAATATTTATCCTCAGACAAACCTGCGGAACAACATTCCTGTCCCTCAAACCGTTAGGCCCTCCCGAGACACAGTTATCGAGGCAAATGAAAGGAAAATATATGGTGGTGCAAGATAGAAACTTATGGAAGTCATCGATTAAAGACGTGTCGTGTGCTCTTCGATGACCTCTAATAAAGTATAAAATAGAAAGTCTGGTGTTTAATGTAAGTAGTAAACTTAGTAGATATAAGCTTTTTTAAATGTCAATACAAGTCAGAAATAAGGAGCCGAGTGCTCAGATATGTATGCCTTGTTCATGCAATTGGTAAATCTTAACAATAAAATTAAAAAATATATTAATTTATTAAAAATTAACGTTGACATTACGTTAGAAATAAATATTATGGTATTTAAAAACATGTGTTTTTTTATTTTCAGCATTTGAGTAACTCTGGATTATTTTCAAAACCATTTATAAATAAAAAAAAATGATAAATATGCTAACTTATAATAATCAAGTACAATTAACTAAAAGATTTTCATGTTTAAACGAATTAATAGATCCTCCTTAACATTAACTTTGTTTTATTTTTGCTTATTACAAAACACGAATTTATTCATTACATAAATAACGTAAGTTTTAGTGTTTATGTCAACAACATTCCAATGGTTTCTCTCAAGTGGGTCTTACTGTCGATGACTGACTTGTGACCTCTGACACACATGTATTGTTGATATTATTAAAAGTGATAGGTCAATAACTTAAAAAAATATTGTCAATGAACGAAAATTATTTTTTATTTTTGAAGTTATACTTCTTTTGGCACGTTTGGAAAAAAATATGAGAGTAAAATTTTTACGATGCGCTGCGTGGGTGATATAGCTTTTGCTGAATATCGAATCGAAACTATATATCGATATTCGATATCGGATATCGAAACCATATATTTTATGTATCTATATATTGTACTGATAACTCGTTACGGATATATCCTTTTCGATATTTTTAGTTGTTACATATATCGATACGGAACAATTTGTGCATATCTAAATATATGATATATTTTAGTGCGCGTGAAAAAATGTTGAGATATGTCCTATGAAAATGAATGAACTTTCACTCATACTTTACCTTTATGGCTGATGGGTAAAACATTTAATTTCAACATAACAAAAAATTACAATTCTTGAAATTTAACATTAAAACATTTTATACTACGGAACCCGAAGTACGAGTCAGACTCGCACTTGCCTGATTTTTCAGCTTTAACCCCGCTTAAGCTTATAACTCGAAACACAAGTACCGACCGTTACCCGATGACCTAACGTTGGTGAAATCGCCGCGCCGAAAACGAAAGTACATGAGACGCTCGCACCGCACCGCCCGTCTGATCACTAATAAATCTTTACTACACTCTCTTAGCTTTAAATTTTGTTAATAAATAACTTAACACCATATAGTATTAGAGATGGCATTATTACTTATGCTGCTTTTTGTTTTATAATTTTGATTTGAGTAGGATACTGTGTCCATAAAAAAATATTTATAAATGCATTTATGCTATAATTGGAAATGATTTTTCGGCATATTATATGACTCTTTTGTACAATAATTGTATTAGAATTTAGTTAACTTTAGATTTAATGGTAAAAAGCCATTCATAATACTTTTTTGTATCGTTTCAATTGTAAATATTCAATTCAATTATCTTGTTAATGGCTTCAAAGCGTGCCAGTTGAGCACATATTACTTCACCAATGTCACGTAGAATGGAGAAGACACGAAGAAGATTTGGTTGTAAATAAGTATTATTTGTTATCAATGTTCAGTCGAAGATCGATATTTTAATTATAAGGTAGTTAAATTAGTTAACTAGAAACGCCTTATATTCGTTTTTATTGTATAAGTACTAGCATTCTTAATAAATTATTTATATTTTCAATTTTTTAGGGAGAAACTAATATTTGTTTATATTTTTGCAAATATAAGAATATATTATACTTTTGTTTACTTTCTATTAATTTACTACATGAATTAATAAAATATAACACTAAATTTTATTATGGAAAACACAAATCAGTATTCTTTTATAAGATATAAGTCTTTTTAGATACAATTATAAGAGCACCGATGGCATAGGAAAAGGTCATGGGGCCACAAGACCGTGACGTGACCGTGAACTTGATCGCGATCTGTAAATAGAGGTGATACTCGTTACTAGAATTAGATTAAGTTTGGAGTATTGGAAATGCCTTATTTTAGTTGTATTTTTAATTTTTATTCTCTCAGCTTTATCTTTTTTAAGGTAGATCACTGTTGTTCATACTAACGTCGTAGCGTTACCGATCAAATTAAAGTATGATTAAAAACAGCAAATCGACAAGTTCAATCCATAAATAAAACTCATATCAAACTTCTTACACCCTTAAAATTAGCTGCAGTTGTTCACATTAGTACTAGATATCTACAGGCTGTAAGTTATTAAACCATTTCACTTTTTTAATTATCATTCCTGATCTGAAACTTGAGTCGGGAAAGTGAGCGCCATAGTGCACGGACCTGCCGCGCTGGCTCGAGTAGTTTACACCGGGCACCGGCAATACGGAGCCTAGAAAGCTTGACAACTTTTTTCAAGACCTAATACTTTATTACATTGTAAATAATCATTTTGATGTAGTTTGTAATCACATTTGTGTTCATGTAATCATACTACTAATATGAATACGGGTCTGTATGTGTGTAATGTGTATGTTTGTTACTCTTTCAGGCTGTAACGGCTGGACGTATTTGGGTGAAGTTTAGTATACATATTATAGACTATAACTTGGAGTAACACAGGCTATGGTTAGGCACACAGGAATGCACTAGAGCGAAGTTAGAGTAAGGCGCTTGTATACTAGTACTAATTTAATAACTATACTAGCGACTTACTCTCGCTTCGCTCGGGTGTGTCCCTATTTTTAGTCTTTATTGAGCAGAACCCTATTTTTTTAAATTAAAGTAGGTTACTCCTTATAACATCAGCTATCCAGTGACAGTCCCGTAAAAATCAGTCCAGCCGTTTCGGAGATTAGCCAGAACAAACAGACAGACAGGCAGATAGACAGATAAAATTTTTAAAAAATTGTGGATTCCGTAAGTATCGTAAATAATTTCATTAGCATTTAGTAAAAAGCTGTTTTTTAACATTACAAACAGACACTTTTTAACGTTTAGAGACAGTTGTAGTTTCTTTGTTCAATGAAGTCTCCATAGGTTTCTTTCGTCTTTTTTTACTCCGGACTGAATTTCCCCTATTTAAACTTCCTGCGTATCAATAAGTGAATTTTTGCAAATTTTTGCAAATTTGTTTTGCAAATTGGTAGATATTGTGTTTTCCAAATATGATGGAGGTTACGGGTTCTATCCCAGATTGTATATAAATATTAATTTTGGTCAACAGATGAAAATGCATTTAATATGGAACCAGAACTTATTGCTTGTTAAATCCTCTCTATGGTAGGCCAAAGTACCCTTTGACCTAACAAAATATACGTAATAAAAATTATTCCTACAATGTGCGTACTAGCTATAATACATAAAAAATAGCCTTAAATTATAACTAATAAAAAATAGAAAATATATATTTATGATTTATAGTATAATATTTGAGGGCAACGGTCAATTAATCCACTTATTTTTGAAGTTATACTTCTTTTGGCACGTTTGGAAAAAATATGAGAAAAAGATTTCTACGATGCGTGCGCACGCCGACATCCAAAAAGCGACATGATGAAGTTAGCTGCAATTGTTTTACAAACAGAGAGTTGTGACATACAGGATGAAATCTTTAGCTATTTTTGTTCTGTTTACGCCAAAGAAGTATAACTTCTTACGTGCGTACATAAGTACCTACACACACGTTATTTTTATTTATCCAGTTCTTTAACTTCAGCATAAATCAGTTAATTTAGTTGTTTTTTTTTTCAAAAATAGAGTGCTATGAAGATCTACGAAATATGTTGCCATTACGTCTCTACCATAATAATATCAATGCAACTATGAGAAATAATAAGATTATTTAGCTATTTCTTCTCTTCCTTCACAATATTACTTAAATTCATATTATATAATTTGAAATACTGGTTAAAGGTTATAATTATAATTAATATTATAAATTATCGATACACATAATAAAATTCTGACCGATTCGAATTTGTACATTGAATATTTTTTGGAAAATCTTATTGAAAAAGTCATTATTATCGATACAGAAGCTGAATCTATAGTTTTTAGACCTTTTGTCTGTCTGTCTGAGATCGCATCACGAGAACACCACTCTACAGATTTTGATGAAATTAGTTATGATAATATCCGAGTCAACGTTTAGGATACATTTTAATGTGGCAAAATATCTCATCTTTGAGAAATCTATACTAAAAACGTTAGAACGTAACTATAGGACATGAGTCGCTATTTTATTATTATATTAAAATTTAATTAACAAAATTACTATTAACAACATTAAGTCAAAGTTACATTTTTTTCTCATAGGAATCTCAAATAGGAATAAATATTATGTAATACTTTATTGTAATGTAGCATTACATAAATCTTAGTGATGTGTTAAAGATATACTTATTTAAAAAAAAAAAAAAACTTTTAATGATAATAAAGGAAAAAAATGTATTTTTTAAAATATTTTCTATGTAATAAAATAAACAACTATCGCAATATAACATGTTTGTAACGTTACCTACTGCCCTAGACATAGCAGTTTCAATTAGTGCAACGTGGAAAAGAATTCAAACCACTGCTAACATAATTATATTTTTTTCTTCTTCATTACAAAATTTTGCGAATTTATAAAAAAAAAATTAGGTTTGATATAGTAAATTATAAAAGTATTGGCTCTACGATTGCGTATTTGTTTCAAGTTGGCTTTCTCGGCGTCGCGGGTGAACGGCCGAGAGCGTCCACACGTCGCGTCCAGTCTCGGCTCACTTTGATCATAACTCATATTTTTGCAAACTTATTCATACGTAACAGTTTTATTTGTATTAATATTATCGTTATTTTCTTTATAATTTAAAACGGGATATTTACTATGTTTAAACCTCACTATATTTTTTGAAATATCGATAATAATAGTAAAAGAACATGCTCGCCACTATTTTAAACGTCACTATCAAGTATTCACCGAGTATCATATCTAGTATCTTCACACATCAGAAAAATAACTTTAGTGATCACGAAAGCTTAAAAAATAATAATATTATTATTTTGCTAACTCTTAAATGAAACCTAACTAGCTTTTGGGTCCAATTACCTAGGTAAAAGATTTAAATGTTGTAACTTATGACTAATTTGGTTAATCTATCAATATGATATATCTATATTATTTCTTGTTCCATGAATCTATTACAGTTTTCGAAAAAACATGTTATAGCATATTTTTTACTTTTAATTTATTCTCATGGATAGACAGAACGAAATTTAAAGTAGAAGATTCTAAATATATATATATATAATCACTTAAACTGATGAAATAACAATATACCTAAAATACCGAAATAACAATATAAATAAAATATACCTAATATATTTAATTGATAAAACTACATGTTCTCTATTTGATATACCCACTATCACAAATTTGACATAATTTTTCACTATAAAATAGCAAACTAATAAATACTTTTTAAAGTAATCTCGTTAATCCCCTATTAAGTAAATACCTACTAACATTATTAATATCTAATTAATATTTAATATATAAAAGAAGAACTGCTGAATCACAATAATAACTTAACACAGTCTTTGTGTAAAGTAAATAGCATGTATCAACAATATTATCGAATTGCATCATACAAATGAATCGAAAATATAAAATCGAGATCAGTTGGCGTCCAAGTGTCTATGAAACTTTCTCCGCCAACCCTCGTCTCCCTCCTCTCCCCTCCAGAATCTTTCCCCCTGCTGGTAACCTCTGTAACTGGTATCGCGCATGCTCATCTCGATTACGCACTGATGTCTGATGATTGAAATTGAATAATCCGTTATAACACGATGGATTAACTGTACTGTGCTCACTTGCACTAAAAACTTTTATAGGAAAAATGATAAGATCTTAATCTTAGCTCGACGTTAGTGCTTTAGTTTTTATCAAGCTTTTATTAATTAGGTCGTATTTTTGTGTCTGTTACATATTATTTGCATAATAATGAACTTTGCCTGATAAAAGCTTCAGACGGCTTAAATGTTATTAAGACTGTGTTAAATACATATACATAAACTATGTAAATAAATAGATAGTTCTAGATATTTAAAATTATCTGCCTAATAAATAAAGAACTATATGAAAACTTGCTTATATAATAGCATACAAAATTTAAAGAAACTTTAGCAAAGTTATAACAGCACTCTACTAATAGAATAATAATATTGTTGTAGCATAGAGATAATGTAGAGAAATTAATATTTTTGTTGTTAGCACAAAGCTATAATTACTTGAATGATGAGTCGCGTGCAGATCGCGTTGATGTCTTTTATATGCCAAACATGAAATTATCTTATTTAATCTTATTTTTTTTAAAAACCTATAATAATAATGATTATTTAATTTAACATTTGTACATTTTTTTATTATTATAGCTCAATTGGTTTAAATATTTAAGAGTTTGTATTTTTTTTATCAAAAATAGGCCTAGGTTTAGGTAACAGTTATAAGTAATTGAAATAAGCATATTGTTACATTGACGAGACGAGCAGACGACGAGAAGAAATGTTTGGTAGCTTTGATAGATTTTATTTAATAATTCAAATTTATTAAAAAACATTATCTACATCTTAAGTGTCACGAGATTGCATTAAAAGAGCAATTTTATCTTACTCAGACTTTTCTAATATTTAAAATATAATGATAATAGTATATTAATTAACACCTAAAGAGGTAACGGATGCGCACCGTTACTTGCGACTCAACAGCCATACTAGTGCCATAAAGACAAATCATTATATTTATGTTTACGAGGTTTATATACACACTGTCACACTATATACACATTTACACATAAAGACTTTTTGCTACTAAATATCTGCTTAACACAGTCCACAATAATTCGTTGATGAAGGTAAATAAATATAATAATGTATCCTTGAAATATATGTAGGTATACTCGTATATAAATAAAATTAATACTGAGTAAACTATTCATGTAAAATATGCATACATAAAACATATTTATTAAAAACAAAGACAATTATTTCATTATTATAAGTTAAATAAATATTTGGTCTTTAGATATATTCTAACAATCATACTATGGCCCTACATTTGACATAGCATTTTTTTTAAATTATTCAATACATTATATGTAGTTTATATAATATAAGCCTCAGTTCTCTAGTAAACATATAATGTAAGAATATTTAAAAAAATGTATATGTAAAAACGGATAACAGTACAAAGTAATACAAACAGCAAGTGGAATTAGAAATCGCGTCGCATACTCAAAACTTAGTATATTACTCATCTCGTAAATGGGGAAAGGTTTTGAATATTTAACAATTATTCAAATCAATTAAAAATTTTAGTTTCTATTATCATAATTAAAATGCGAAAGAGCGTCTTTCTGTACGTTTGTGGATTTCACTTTGAATTTTGCTGAAAGTGAATGAAGTATAACAATATTATATCACAATTATAAGAATTTTCAGGCAAAACCTTATATTTTTGAGCTAATGAGGTTGCTGATCCGAAATATTTGGTACATTAGATAAACTAAAGCTATCAAGAAGTCACAAGTGCTCTTTAGTTAAAATAATTACATATTATCATTCACTTATGTGACTCTACCGTTATGAATATCATATCATTAGACTATTTCAAATCTATCATTTTCAATAACTGTTTTTCTTTTTGACCGACTTTATATTCTAACTGAGGTTTTAGTATAAATTATTTTATTTTATTAGTTTTTATGTGTCTTGTTTTAGATATGATTGGCATTTTAATGGCCAAATCTAAAAACACTCTATGTGTGTAGAGCTGTAAGATTTTACACATTCTGTAATCTTATTACTTTCCATTTTACCGTACAACCAAAATGCTAATTGAAATAATACATTAGCGGAGAAAACTTTTACTTTGCTACTTATTTACGTTTCGGAAACATGCATGAAAATTTGCAATGTTTTCTAAAGTTTTATACTGATTTTCTGCATTTGCAGATACTGCTACTAGAAGTTATAAACACCTATCGCACACTTGACTGATTTGTTTACGTGGTATCCCATTTAGATAGATACTTCTGTATCGCCGTTAAACTATTGCAACGTAAACGTAGCGGTTTTAAATTCCTTACCAAATTAGTTCGGCACATTTCGATTCATCGAGCACACGACTAATGTATGTAAGTGGGTGACCAGTATTAGTGACCTATCTAGGAAAATTTTACCTGACAAGAAGGAACTGGCAAAGGACTCATCCTGCGCATACGCAGGTGTTGTTATGAGTAGGAGAGCTATAGCCACGGTTCTCATGGCGCACTACAAAACTGTTCACTGTCAACTGTCTAAAGGCATGGCGCGGCGACCGGTCGCCGTATCGCGTAAAGTCCAACTGCCGGTGAAAGAAAGAAAGGGGCTCGGCTGAGATTTGTAGAGAACGTGGAAGTCAGATGTGGCACGATCGGTTATTTTATACCTACTACCACAATTGTTAGTCTCTAGGATTATTTAAAAGTAAAATTTTACATTATCTGCATTAAGCACTAAATGTTTATTAATATATTTTCTCTTTTTTATTCTATTTCAAGAAATATCTAATAAAGACTGAACAAAAAAACGTTTACAAATTTCCAAGAATTTTATGTTTTACTAGCATTGCTCGCGGCTTCGCCTTCGTTCAGATGACAAAAAGCAAATTCTTAGGTTTTACATATTATATGATACTCTTACAATGCAGTTTTTGTATTTTTTCTCAGAAATGAGATATTTTCCCGCGATAAAAAGTATATGTTGACCCAGATAACCAGCTATTGCCATACCAAATTTCATCAAAATCCCTCCATGGTTTTTCTGTGATACGGTAACAGACAGACAGACAAAAATTCTAAAAACTATAGATACGACCTCTGTATCGATAATAATATCTATTTTAATAAGATTTTTCATAAAATATTTAATGTACAGGTGCAGCTTAGTTACAATTTTAATAATATGTATAGATTTTTGTAACATTGGGAATTAATAATAACTACCTATTGTTGTACCTATTTTTAAAAGTAGAGAGAAAAATGCATAGATAATTATAGACCCATTTGTATTTTATCAGTTTTCGCAAAAAATTTTGAGTCATTAATTTGTCCTTTTCTCACTTGGCACATGAAACCCATAATAACAGATAGAAGACAAGATGGTTTTATAAAAAATAGGTCTACAGTTACTAATTTGGTAGCTTTTGTAGAGGATATCATAAAATCATTAGATTCCAATACACAGGTTGATTGTATCTATATAGATTTAGCGAAAGCTTTTGATGTGGTTGATCACAACTTTTTAATTCAGAAACTTTATAAATATGGGATAGCGGGAAATTACTTAAACTAATAGAAAGTTATTTGCCAAATCGAGAAATGAATGTTGTTTTGGGAGGTTATGAGTCAAATACATTTTTTTCAACTCCCGGAGTGCCTCAGGGATCGAGACTTGGTCCTATTTTATTTGGAATTTTTATCAATGATGCCGTAAATGTTATACATCATAGTAATTTTCAACTTTATGCAGATGATCTAAGAATTTATAGAACAATAAAAACTATTGAAGACTCGGTTCTTTTGCAACAGGATTTAAATAGATTTGCCATATGGTATTCTGAGAATCAAATGAAAATAAATAACTTTAAATGCCATAGCATAACTTTTAGTAGAAAAATAAGTGATATTAATTACAATAACAGTATAAACGGTTGCCCTCTTAAAAAAGTTACTCAAACACGAGATTTGGGTACTATTGTTGACGCAAAGATGAGTTTTATTTCACATATAGATGATGCTGTAAGCAAATCATTAAGGACATTAGGGTTTATAATTAGATCTACTAAAGCCTTTAAAAAATCTAGCACATTAATAATCTTGTTTAATGCATTAATAAGAAGTAAGTTAGAATATTGTACAATAGCTTGGAATCCATATTATCACACGCATAAAAATAGATTGGAAGTAATACAAAAGAAATTCTTAAAGTTTTTATCTTACAAAGATCGAATTAATAATGAAGTAAGCAATTATGATGATTTATTACGGCATTATAAACTGCACTGCCTCGGTGGTGCAGTGGCTAGCATGTACGGCTGCACACCCGGAGGTCCTGGGTTTGAGTCCCGGGTCGGGCCAAGTTTAGTTAATGAGTTTTTCTGTATATTAAGCCTCAGTAACAGCCCGGAGTTGGGAAGACGGCGGTGTTTCACCCCCGTGCCTCGGAAAGCACGTAAAGCCGTCGGTCCTGCGCCTTAACTCTTACTGGTCGTGTCGAGTGGTCGTCCCACCAGAATATGAGAGTGACAGGAATAGAGAGTGCATTTGTGTCTGCGCGTACACTTGTGCACTATAATATCTCCTGCGCAGTTGGCTAGTCTCAATGAGATTGGCCGCCGTTGCCGGAATCGGTCAGGAGAACATCATAAAATATTGAAACTAATTCATCGCAGGGATATTGCTGATCTCTGCTTTTTACACAAAGTAATTTCAGGAGATATCGATTGCCCTAGATTATTAAAAGAACTTAATATAATTACTCCTAAGCCAAATGCAAGAGTAACTAATGCTCAAAGTTTTAAATGTCAGTTCTGGAGAACGAATTTAGGTTTAAATGCCCCACTATGCAGAGCTGGAAAGTGTTATAACTTACCAAAAAATGACTTTGATATATTTTATGACTTCTAACACTGCTATAAGGCGAAACTCAAAACCTTCTTTATGAACTTATATCAATCCAAAAACCCCTAATACCTTTGACATAGTAAATTATTATCTTAGTTTTATATTTTTCCTCATTTCTCTTTTTATTATTTGATTTGGTCATGGTTTGTATAAACAAATATCAAAATTTAGTTATATTTTTGTTTAAACTTTTTTTTACACGGATATTTTGTTATTTAAATGTTAGAGTTATTTCATTTCTTATATATATTTTTTTGAACTTAAGTGAGCAACAACTACAACCTTGTTCTTATTTCAACAATTATTATTTACATATTAAGTTAGCCTGTAATTGTGATATACTTTGTAACACTTTCTTATGTATAACTATATTAAGTTAAGAAATGTATTCTTAGTATATAAAGTAGGCTTAATAATAAATAAAATAAAATAAATAAAATAACTAGTGACTTACATTTGCTTCGCTTGGGTGTGTACCCAGGCACCAAACAGTAACCTATGATGTGTGCCTATGATGTATTAGTCCAGGTCATAGTCCGTTTACTAAATTTTATCGTAAAAGCGTAACTGTAAAAATAACTGTAAAAATAGTTCGATTATTCTAAATTTCTCCTATATGACTCTACATTCCTAACTCTGACAGAATATGAAACAGATATGTGCCAAAGAGATATGTGTGATTTCTGCAACTGTATCCAATAATCTATGATAAAGTCTTCAGCGTAGAATGGCCAACAAGCGGTCAGCTCGGCGGAACTGCGCTAGTGACGCGATGATGAATGGAGCCATCAATCGATCCACACATTGCCGAAATTAACACCACTTTCATACTTATATCCAAACATATAATAAGCATATCACGCTACTATACGTGTCGTTGTTTTTATTAGGTATATAGATAGCTTTTATTCGATAGTAAAAAAAACTTAATACATATTATGTACTGAATATTTTTAACTATTTATATGTTATTTTATATGTCAAAAGTACATAGACTATATACATATGTAAGTCAACCTTGCTAAAATCTAGATATTTTACTAAATCTGAAAATTAGCATGGGAATGTACGTTTTATTAATAGTAATAATGCGTGATGGATCGAAGTCTCCATAGTCTCATTTTTATCTTGACCTAATAATTTATAATAACTAGCAGAACTCGTGGGTACGCCCGCGTTCAATCTTCAAAAAAAACTCTGGCTTTATGTTATACTGTATACAGCGACTCACCCTCGCTTCGTTCGGGTTCGTCTCTATGTATTTATGAAGATATATTGTTCATACAAAAATACTAAAATCGCGATTAAGAAATAGGGGGTGGGGGTATATGAGGGTGAGAAATACTTTACGACCAATTCTCATACCTACCAAATATACAACAAAAAACCTATTCCTCGGTCTTCAAAAGACCGAGGAATATAATCAGCCTCTATGCCTAGCGTTTGTGGACTACGAGAAAGCCTTCGACACCATCGAGACCTGCCGTTCTACAATCCATGCAGAGATGCCTTATTGACTATCGGTACATCCAAGTACTAAGGTGTTTGTAAGAAGCCGCAACGATGACCATCCAAGTACAAGGTCAGAGCACAAGGCCAATCCAAACGGATGCGGTATAAATATCAACGGAAAATATATGACACACCTGCGATTCGCCGATGACATAGTCATCAATACAACAAAAATCATTAAAATCTGTCGAGCCGTTTTGGAGGAGTGCGACCACAAATACCGTGACACGAGATTATACATTATTATATGAATTCATATAAAAATTACAAACTCCTTACATTAGACATCAACGCGTCTATAGAAATATCTTAGCGTAGATCTTATAATACCTAAATATTATTTAGCAAAATAATATTCTGCATATTATGTATAGTAATGTCAGGAAAGTGAAACTGCCAACTGGTGTATAAGATATTTACCGTTTAAAAATGATGAATCAGCTTGAAAAAGTAAGTTACAAGCACTTTACATAACGCTGACTAATAAAAATTTCCTGCAAAATAACGTAACTTTTCTATACTAATATTATAAAGAGGTAAAGTTTTAGTTTGTGAGATTGTGAGTTTGTGACGTTGTAGGGGGTAATCTCTGGATCTACTGAATTGATATAGATGAAATTTGGTAAGATAGTTTCAGACCCTGGGAAGGACATAGGATACTTCTTATCCCGGAAATCATCTCTTAAGGGGGTGAAAATGGGGTCGAAAGTTCGTATTGGGAGTCACTAGTATAATATGTCTAATTTTAATTTTATACCATTATGCCATTTGCTGTAGAAACCCTTATCCCATGGAGTCAAAGTGCTAAACACTTCTCAAAAGACTTGACCTGACATAACTTTTGACAAGGGAGCTGGCTCGTTTTTCGACTAAAGAATCGGCATTGAAATACAGCGAGGGAGTGCTGTTAGCGACCTTGGACATGACTCGTACAGTAAAAATTAAGAGTATATTTATTTTGTACTAGCATTGCCCGCGGCTCCGCCCGCGTTCAGGTGACCAAAAACCAAATTCTTGGGTTTTACATATTAGTATACTCTTACATTGCAGTTTTTGTATTTTTTCTCAGAAATGAGACATTTTCCCGCG